AAAGGAAATGAATGAGGCACAGATGTTGGATTCAAGGATCTTTCAGCCTCATTGGGAAGATCAATGCCGTACATATGTAATTAGGATACAAAGGAGATGGTAAGTGACATAGGAAGTTCAGATAAAACGTTAAGTGAGGTTAGAGAAAGAAGAGACATCTTCTAGCCAAGAAGGAAAGGATTTATGGAGTAAGTGACATTTGAGACTCAGCTTTGTGTGATAATTCTGTAGGTATAGATGTAAAGGGTATTCTTTTTTGTTTTTACTCAAATCTTTTTTTTTTTTTAAGATTTTATTTATTTATTTGAGAGAGAGAATGAGATAGAGAGAGAGCATGAGAAGGGGGAGGGCCAGAGAGAGAAGCAGACTCCCCGCCGAGCAGGGAGCCCGATGCGGGACTCGATCCCGGGACTCCAGGATCATGACCTGAGCCAAAGGCAGTGGCTTAACCAACTGAGCCACCCAGGCGCCCTGTTTTTACTCAAATCTTAAAAGATCTACAGCCCATTTGCAACCTTGACTGCCTTGCCCATGTTTTCTTACATTTTCAAAGTTGAAGCATCAAACAACTGGTTTCTCCCCGACTTCAGTATTCATTTTATAAAGACCAAGAAAACCTCACTTCTATACTCACATTGCTGAGAAATGTAAAAGATTCCTCTGACTTATTTACACGGCACTTTGCTTTCCCCAGGAAGATATATGCATAATTAGATGAATGACGTCAGCTGACCACCGTCCTGGTGAAAATCTCCTCTCATTTGGGATCAGAGGAGCTCCCTATGTGTTTGTTCTATAATTGAATGTGCTGCAGTTACAAACACTGACTGTCTCGAAGCCTGAAGCCTTGGTGGGATAGCATAGCCCCTCCCACACACACACGTAGGACGTCTTCAGGGCTCACCACAGCTAACAGAAGCAGACACACGAAATATTTGGGGCATTAAAGGTTTCCCACAAAGTACTGGTTTTTAAAAGCCACCTGAGTGGCTCAGGCGGTTATTCGTCTCAGGTCATGATCCTAGAGTCCCAGGATCGAGCCCCATGTTGGACTCTCTGCTCAGCGGGGAGTCTGCTACTCCCTCTCCCTCTGCTGCTCCCTCTACTTGTGCTCTCTCTCTCACACTCTATGAAATAAATAAAATCTTTTTAAAAAATAAAAATAAAAGCATAATTTGTTTCTTCTGAATTTTTCTGTCTCTGTAACTTACCCACTGTCTGAAATGCTGAAAATCTATATATTCTCTGGGTGCCTGGGTGGCTCAGTTGGTTAAGCGACTGCCTTCGGCTCGGGTCATGATCCTGGAGTCCCTGGATCAAGTCCCGCATCGGGCTCCCTGCTCAGCAGGGGGTCTGCTTCTCCCTCTGCCCTCTTCCCTCTCGTGCTCTCTGTCTCTCATTCTCTCTCAAATAAATAAATAAAATCTTTAAAAAAAAAAATCTATATTCTCAAGCTTAACTTCTGCATGTTTATTTTATATGGTGACTTCTTGGTTACCCAAAATTCACTGAGAGGAAGATGTTGTACCTAATGAAATTTTCTGGTTAACAAATGCTAAAACACTGTTTAAAAATTAATGATGATTTTTTTTTTTTAAAGATTGTGAATCCTGTTTTCTATAAGATTAGTTATCAACACTCAGTGCTAACAAGGAATAAAGAGAGAAAAGAAACAAGAGCATCATTTACTTAGGGCCTAGAGCATAGTTAACAAGAATGGGACCTTTGATGTCAGTCTTACTTAGCTTTGAATCCTAGGTTCGCCTCTCACTAGCTAGGCAAGTTCATTTAAAATGTATCATTTAAAATGTTCATTAAAAATGTTCATTAAGGGGGTGCCTGGGTGGCTCAGATGGTTAAGCATCTGCCTTCGGCTCAGGTCATGATCCCAGGGTCATGAGATCGAGTTCCGCATCGGGCTCCCTGCTCATCGGAGAGCCTACTTCTCCCTCTCCCTCTGCCTGCCGCTCTGCCTACTTGTGCTCTCTCTCTCTCTCTGTCAAATAAATAAAATCTTTAAAAAATAAATTAAAAATAATAAAAATGTTCATTAAAAAGTTCATTTAAAATGTATCATCTTCCTGGGGCGCCTGGGTGGCTCAGTCGTTAAGCATCTGCCTTCGGTTCAGGTCCTGATCCCAGAGTCCTGGGATCGAGCCCCACATCGGGCTCCCTGCTTGGCGGGAAGCCTGCTGCTTCCTCTCCCACTCCCCCTGCTTGTGTTCCCCTCTTGCTATGTATCTCTCTGTCAAATAAATAAAATCTTTAAAAGAAAATGTATCATCTTCCTATCCATGAATTGGAATGATACTGGTACGTACTCATACAGGGTTGTTAGAAAGACTACACTGAACGGGATGGATTAAGAACCTGTCTCAACAAAAAGCTGGAAACAAATTAACTGCACCTGGTGTTGTGCTAATAGACATTTTGCATGTTAATGTATTAATCTTCAAGGCAACCTGACGGGGTACTATTTTTAATCTGGTACTTTTATCTGTGCTTTAAAAATAAGTACTCAGAAAGAACCTTGCTGAAAGTCATATAGTTCTAATTTGCAAGTTGAGATTTGAACCTGGATCTGACCAATTTAATATCCATTCTTTTTTTTTCCTTAGGTTTTCTGTTTTGGTTTTGGTTTTTTTGGGTTTGGGGGTTTGTTTGTTTGTTTTAGTAATCTTTACACCCAGTGTAGGGCTTGAACTCATGACTCCGAGATCAAGAGTTGCATGCTCTTCTGACTGAGCCAGCCAGGTGCCCCTATGCTACTTTCTTTGTTAGATTTGATTTTCTTTTAGATATTTCTCATAGCTCCCCTTTATTTCTTAAACTTGCAATAATACATGCGAATTCTTCTGTAATTCAAACAGTATAGAAATAACTAATGCAACAATTCCCCATTCTTTAATCCTATTCCCCAGAAGTAAGCAATTTAAAAATTTCTCCTATATCCTGACAAATATTGTCCTGCATGCATATCTGTATATGTGTATATTTTATATCATTTTCTGAAAATTATTTAAACCTACATTCTTTCAGTGGCATGTAAAAATTCCTTTCTCTACATTATCAGTACTGAATTTCTTTCTTTTCTCTTGTCCATTCAATAGATGAAAGAACACAAAGGGGTGCTTGGGTGGCTCAGTCGGTTAAGCGTCTGCCTTCGGCTCAGGTCATGGTCCCAGTGTCCTGGGATCAAGCCCCGCATCGGGCTCCCTACTGCGCGGGAAGCCTGCTTCTCCCTCTCCCACTTCCCCTGCTTGTGTTCCCTCTCTTGCTGTGTCTCTCTGTCAAATAAATAAATAAAATCTTAAAAAAAAAAAAGAAAGAAAGAACACTATATCTTTACTTCAGTTTGCACTATTTTAAGTTACAAGGTTGAGGTTGAATGTCCCAAAATCTAGACTATTTTCTCTCCAAACAGTCCCCACCAAATTTGTAGTAATCCCAAAATGGTGGTGTTCTAATATAAAAATCCAAATAAATACAATGTAGATACTCCATGTATCATCCTTATTCTCCCCTATGTGCCCTGAGAAAGTAAATAAACTTCTGGTTAATTAAATATAACATTTAATATGTTACAATTCAACTGAGATACTGAATGTGTATTGGAATTTTATTTATTTTTTAAAGATTTATTTACTTATTTGAGAGAGAACGCCCACATGCAAGCTGGGGGAGGGACACAGAGAGAGGATCTCAAGCAGACTCCTCCCCACTGAGCATGGAGCCCTTCACAGGGCTTGATCCCAGGACTCTGAAATCATGAGCCAAAATCAAGAGTCAGACACTTAACCGACTGGGCGACCCAGGAGCCCCTGTTTTGGAATTCCAATGGGGTTAATTCTTATGTCTCATTTATATTAAATAAATTTTTTTATTAAAGATTTTTATTTATTTATTTATTTGAGAGAGAGAATGAGAGAGAGAGAGCATGAGAGGGGGGAGGGTCAGAGGGAGAAGCAGACTCCCTGCCGAGCAGGGAGCCCGATGCGGGACTCGATCCCGGGACTCCAGGATCATGACCTGAGCCAAAGGCAGTTGCTTAACCAACTGAGCCACCCAGGCGCCCTAAATAAATGTTTTTAGAATTCTGCAGAAAATAACCATCAAGAAAACAACTGTTCCATTCATTGGTTCAACCAGGATTTGTCCAGTGTTTTCCATGTACCAGACATAGTGTTAGGTACTTGAGTTTCAGAGATAAACAGGATAAATACAGTCTCTTACCTCAAGTAGTTTAATCTTGCACAGAAGATAAATAAGCATGTCAGAAAGTTTTGGCTAGAGGGAATAGAAGAGCTAACTGGCTGAAACAAGTAAATTTATGAGCTCTCATGTGAAGGCTGCTAAGAATAAGACTGTACTTCAGGTCAGGTTGATGCAATGGCCCACTTTAGCCATCAGAGTCCACTTTTTCCATCTCCAACTTTGCTCATGTGGGAGGTAGGGGATCTTCTTGTGGTTCTTTTAAGACCAAGGAGGAACTGGGACACCTGGCTGGCTCAGTCTGTGGAGCATGCAACTCTTGATCTAGGGATTGTGAGTTCACGCCCCACCTTGGGTATAGAGATTACTTAAAAAATAAAAATCTTTAGAAAAAAAAAAAAAGACCAAAGAAGAACTTTTCTAGAAGTCTTTGTGTCTCATTGAGCAGAACTGGATCGCATATCCACTCCTGGCAAAGTCATTGGCAAAAAGATTGGGATTAACCATAAGATAATCAGGCCCAACTTTGGAACAGAGAATAGGCATCAGCTTTTTCTAAGGCATATCTATCTGTAAGCAGCAGGGACAGATCCGGGGGGTGGTGGTTAGGGGCAGAGGTTTTGGGGATGACCTTCTAGTGCAAAGAAGGAAAATAGGAATGGCCACTAGAGAGGAAACAGTATCAACAACAATAATAAAACAAGCTATTGTGGTTGAGTATCTATATAGTTCTGGGCAGTGTGAGTGAAGAATAACATCTTTACCATTTTCTTCTTAATGTCCCATAGGATCAGAGCGGTACTGAACCTGTTAGCAGTGAGGAAGATGGCAGTCTCGAAGTTGGTATTAAACAGTTGCCTGAAAATGAAAGCTCCAAACTGGTAAGAATCTTGGGTGTTTTTCAGCCAATGTTCTTTTTTAAGAGTGTATGATTTATATTTTGTACAACCATGGAAAGTTGTACAAAATTTGTGTTGTGTTTGCTTCTCTAGGAATCTTTATCTCTAAGCTAGGAGAAGCTTTTCTATATGGAGTGACCCATTAATTCCAATGAATAGCATATTCTCCTATTTTCTTCACACTTGAATTATGCTGTCTGGGACAAAAGAAGTAATTTCTCTTTTAATCTTGTTTAATATTGGGCTTCTTTAAGGCTAGGGCTATCCTCAATTAGTCCCTAAAGGCACAGAAAAAGATGTTAAATGTATTCCATTGATTCATAGTAAAAGATGGTTAAACTCACCCAGGGGCTGGAGCATTAGAAGAGAGTCAGGTTTGTTTGTTTAAGTTTATTATTATTATTATTATTATTATTATTATTATTATTATTATTATTATTATTATTATTTAGTAATCTCTACATCCAGCATGGGGTTCAAACTCACAACTCAGAGATCAGGAGTCACATATTCTTCCAACTGATCCAGCTAGCTGCCCTAAAGAGAGTCAGTTTTAGAGAACCCTCCCTCCTTATATATTTTAATGCTTGATATTTTATTTCATGTTTATTGAACTTCTACCAGGTACTGTGCTACATGCTACATTAATTTCCTCATCCTTATAGTGCAGGTGGCAATACCTTGGTTTTACACACGATGAAACCAAAGGCTGATGATGTTCACTAACTTGCCAGAGGCCACTCACTAGAATGTAGTAGACTTGGAGATTCACCTTCATTCAGTCTGACTCCTGTGCTTTCATTCACAATCCATCTTTTTTTGTTTTGCAGCCTTGTACTTACAGGGTTAGACTCCAAATTCTAGAAAGAAATGTGGGCTTTTTCTCTCCATTTCAAAATGTCTTACAAATCTCAAAGAATTATCACTTGGGAGGGTCACCCTGATTTTGTGGCAGCACAGAGTTGTTCATTTTACTTCAGAGAGTTAGAGAAATCATTTATCTTCTTTCAACTTTTAGAAAATGTATATTGGGACTGTCTTAGATTCTGTGTCCTAGAAAAGAAACGGATTCTTTCAGGCTGAAGGGAAAGGACATTTCAGCAAAAGTGGAAATGACAATAGGCTACTCCTGGGCAAATTATAAATGGGACCCAAGAACCCTGGCGTCAAGAACACTGGGACTAACAGACTGTGACCACTGTTCTTGAACAAGATGTTCCAAGACAATATGTTTCTTAAAAGACAAACAGCATATTTGCACTGGAAGGGGAGTGAGTAACATCAACAAAGTTTGAACTCAAAGCTCCTTCATTTAAAAACACTATTGGGCGCCTGGGTGGCTCAGTTGGTTAAGCGACTGCCTTCGGCTCAGGTCATGATCCTGGAGTCCCTGGATCGAGTCCCGCATCGGGCTCCCTGCTCGGCAGGGAGTCTGCTTCTCCCTCTGACCCTCCCCACTCTCATGTACTCGCTCTCTCTCATTCTCTCTCTCTCTCAAATAAATAAATAAATAAATAAATAAAAAACACTATTATGTATCTCCATAGATAGGTTAGGGAAAAGTCTTGTAAAGCAACAGGGTTTTGTAAGTAGGCGCCTCCAACCCAATCCACAGAGGCAATGGTAAGAAGGGTGAGAACACTTCCCTGCTTGCCAGAAGAGTCTGGTAGTCCAAAGAGATTCCCTTGTAGGCTGCGGGCAACCGCCATGCATTATCCACTTGCTGTTCCCAAGAAAGCAATGCCAGTGATGGGGCTCCAAGTGTCAAGACAACTGAAGGGTCCCACCCTCAAGCAGAGGACCTGAAGGGCTGAGGGTACTTTTTTTTTTTAAAGAGTTTATTTAGGGCGCCTGGGTGGCTCAGTTGGTTAAGCGACTGCCTTCGGCTCAGGTCATGATCCTGGAGTCCTGGGATCGAGTCCCGCATCGGGCTCCCTGCTCGGCGGGGAGTCTGCTTCTCCCTCTGATCCTCCCCCTCTCATGCTTTCTGTCTCCCATTCTCTCTCAGATAAATAAATACAATCTTTAAAAAATAATAATAATAATAATAAAAAATAAAGAGTTTATTTATTTATTCATGAGAGACAGAGAGAGAGAGAGAGAAGCAGAGGGAGAACCAGGCTCCCAAGGAGCAGGGAGCCTGACGCGGGACTCGATCCCAGGACCCTGGGATCATGACCTGAGCTGAAGGCAGACGCTTAACCGTCTGAGCCACCCAGGCGCCCCTGAGGGTAATTTTTAGATACTGTTTTATCTGCATTTCACCAAGATGGAAGCCTTCCCCATACCCACTGACTGCTCCCTCTTTCTATTTCCCTCGCCTCCTCACCTCCCTCTCTTTTTAGTATTACAATTCTTTCTGTTTCCAGTAGGATCTGTGCATGGTCTAGTTGAGGGAGGAAAGACAGCCTAAGTTTAAACAACTTTTATAGCATAAATACAAATGGCCTACCATAAAACATTAGTCAGGAGTGTCTTGGATGAGTTACTTGACCTCACCAACCCACAGTTTTCTCACCTGATGAAGAACAGTAATCAGGATGTTAGGAGGAAACAAACGGGTTATAAGGTATAAATCACATAGTAGAGTATAAGGCAAACAGTTGGTGTTTAGCAAGTTCATTCATTAATTCAGCAAATACTTGCTGAATGCCACTGTGTCCCAGGCACTAGAGATACAACAGAGAACAAAATGTAGAAAAATGCCTGCTCTCAGCGCACCTGGGTGGCATGATTGGTTAAGCATCTGACTCTTGATTTTGGCTCAGGTCATGATCTCAGGGTTGGGAGCTCAAGCCCCACAGAGCCCCACATCGCGCTCTGCGCTGAGACTCACTCTTCCCTCTGCCCATCCCCCCCTTTCCTCCCCCCCGATAAATAGAACAATTTGGGGGGGTTATGCCTGCTCTCATGGAGGCTCTCTTCAGGTTGAGTAGGAGGAGGAGGATAGATAACAAATTAGCAAAATATTAGTTTGGATCATAAGAACTTGCTATTTTTGTAGGTGAGAATTTCATATGGTGCAACCTAACATGTTATCTTGTTATAAAGTATTAATAACTGTTAATTGTCACTAGTTATTATGGTTATTTCTATTATAAGATTGGTGCAAGAGTTGCTACACCATCCTAGGATTGTTGCCCAATGCATCTTTTTTTTTTTTTTTTTTAAGATTTTATTTATTTGATAGAGAGAGACACAGTGAGAGAGGGAACGCAAGCAGGGGGAATGGGAGAGGGAGAAGCAGGCTTCCTGCTGAGCAGGGAGCCTGATGCAGGGCTCCATCCCAGGACCCTGGGACCATGACCTGAGCCAAAGGCAGACGCTTAATGACTGAGCCACCCAGGCGCCCCACCCAATGCATCTTGTCAGAGGATGGCATGTGATCTGTATGGGTCTTGACTCTTCTATTTATGTCAAGACAGTTGGAAACACTAAGCCCTAACCCTCTAAAAGTTGCTTCCTTGCTTCTTATGGGGACATATGTCTGTCTTATCAGTCACTATGCTGGCCCCTGCTGGAGTGACCAGGAGAAACACCAGCCTTGCTCTTCAGCAGTTGAACCTCTAGAACCAGTGAGGATAATAGAATTTGTATCTGGAATATCATACATGCAGAAGTATATTAGAGAAAAAAAACACTATGTTGCATGTGTTCAAAAGTGGAAGGAAGACCATCTCATACAGGGATTAAGGAAGGTTTCTTAGAATCATGGCCTTTTAGGTAAACCTTTAAAGATGAGAAGACAGGGGCGCCTGGGTGGCTCAGTCATTAAGCGTCTGCCTTCAGCTCAGATCATGATCCCAGGCTCCTGGGATCGAGCCCCGCATCGGGCTCCCTGCTCAGCACGAAGCCTGTTTCTCCCTCTCCCGCTCCCCCTGCTTGTGTCCCCTCCCTCGCTGTGTCTCTCTCTGTCAAATAAATAAAATCTTTTTTTTAAATAAATAAAATCTTAAATAAATAAATAAATAAAGATGAGAAGACAATTGACTGGTGAGGTTGGCCTAGATAAGAGATTTACCAGCTCTATCGGTCTGGATTATGGAGTAGCGAGTAAGTGTTGGGTTTTTGTAGGGAAACAATGGGCAATATAATTTGAACAGTAGACTCAAAGAATATGCTGTGAATTATAGATGAATTTATTCATCTTTATGTGCTCAGTGCTCAATCAGTATCTCAGTAGCTACATGGATACGTGGTAGACACAAGGTGCTACCTATGAAAAACTGTACTTCAGAGAGCTATTAAATTCTTCAAGACTACCTGTTTTCAGAGCTAAGACTAAGCCATGGGTCAGCGTGTTGCAGGACTGTTTCCACTGTTCAATTATGGTTGGCTTTGGCCCATATCTCAGTAGTCCCCAGATTAACAGCCAAGGGGTTTACAATAACTTCAGTAGGTATTGGATTTCTCTAAAATATTTTTAAAGGGAGAATAACTTGTTTTTAGACAACTGATCAGATGATGGTTTGTGAAACATAGATCTCAATTGTGAGAGACTGGAGGCAGGGAAGTGTCTGGAATCTATTTCAGAAGTCTAGGTGAGAGCCTGTTAAGACTATTTTTTAAGCGCTTTGAAAGAAACTTTTAAAAAGCTATCTGCACAGAGCTTTGCGATTTGCAAAACAAAGTGTCATCTCATTAGCTTAATTTTTAATATCTAAATTTTTTCTGAAATGATACTTTGTGATCTTATTCAATTTTATTCCCCAAAATAACCCTATGTAAAAAGTAGGGCAGGAATTATTTATCCCAGACTTACAGATAAGACCTTAATCTGCTTCGTGAAAGATCACAAAACAGGAAATTGGAAGAGCTGGGGCTTATCCTGAGGGGTCTTTGACTCCCTGGTATCTTGACATAGAAGGTCATGAATCCTTAAAGTAATTTTCTTAATCTTTTTGATATCAAGCTATGTTTTTTGTTTGTTTGTTTTTTAAAGATTTCATTTACTCATTTGAGAGAAAGTGAGAGCGAGAGAG